GTTGTGAATTTAGGAAATTTAACGGCTAATATAACTTAACGATTCTCGAAAATAACTTCCAGTTGTTGAAGAAACGGAACAGTGGAAAATATTGAAGCATAAGGCAACATTTCATACAACTATACCATCATAACAAGTATGTAATTAAGTACTATATATCATTTTTTTCTTACTTCTATACCGTTATTATATTTATATATATAATTGGCTACCTTATATCCGTATTTTTCGTACAACTATACCGTTTTAAAAAATATGTAATTAGTTACTTACATCCCTATCTTTTCTTACATCTGTATCGTTATGACAAACATATAGTTCGTAACCTAGCATCCGTATATTTATTATAACTGAATCTTTATGCCAACGATTTAATTGGTTACCTTATATCCGTATTTTTCCTACAAATGTGTCGTTGTACCAAACATCTAATTAGTAGCCTTGCATCCGCATTTTACATAACTGTATCGTTATAACCAAGTTTTTATTAATAGCTACGCATCCTTATTTCTCTCACTACTGCACCCTTATAAAAATGACGGAATTAGCAACCTTACATCCGTATGTTTCTCACAACTACGCCCTTACAAAAAAAGATAGAATTGGTAATTTTATATCCGCATTTTTCTCACTACTGCACCCTTATAAAAATGACGGAATTGGCAACCTTGCATCCGTATTTTTCTCACAACTACACCCTTACAAAAAAAGATAGAATTGGTAATTTTGCATCCGCATTTTTCTCATAACTGCACCCTTATAATAATGACGGAATTGGCAACCTCGCATCCGTATTTTTCTCAGAACTACACCCTTACAAAAAAAAGATAGAATTGGTAATTTTGCATCCGCATTTTTCTCATAACTGCACCCTTATAAAAAAGACGAAACTGGTAATTTTGCATCAGCATTTTTCTCATAACTGCGCCCACAGGGGCGCATGCCGGAGGCCAGCTTTGCCATACTTCACACTTAGTTCATATTCCATTCCATAGGTAGAAACGCCAGAGTGCATAACGGCCTATGAAGTCAAGTGCTCAAAGCCATAGAGTCGGATGTCCACAGCCACAAAATAAGCTTGCCAAAGGTAAACATGGCCATACTGCATCTGGCCAAACCTCATCTGGCCTAACCTCATCAGGCCTAACCTATGCGAGCTGCAACGTTTCTCCACCCAAACAAACCTGAGCGAACCTAACCTAACCTCATTGGCTGCACGAAGTTAGAAAGGCGGTCCAAGTGTGCTGGTAGAGCCAGTCATTGGCTGCAAGAAGGTTGTGAGCCGGGACAGCGTGAATAGGTTAGGCCAGAATAGGTTAGGCCGGAGTAGGTACAGCCGGATGGGGAACTGCCTGCTTATGAGCGAGCATGCTTACGCTGTGGCTGAAGACCTACGGCGCTATTACCTTGCGGCAGTGTGTTGCTTGTCTGGATTACGGAGTTCAAGCGTAATCTTCGGCTTCTAGTTCTGAGGCTGAGTTAAGTTAATGCACGTTGAAGCTAGGCGTTGGCTCCAGGGCATATTTAAGAGTAAAATTTGTGGCCTACGGCTGCGCCCCCCTGCCTACATAAAAAAGACGGAACTGGTAACCTTGCATCCGTATTTTTCGATGGCATCGTCAAAGCTCCACTCATTGTTGATGCCGAAGGACATGACGACGCACGAGCCCGGGACCGGACCGACGTACGCGTCCATGCAGACCGCCTTATCGCCGTCCCTGCCCGCATCCCATGTTACGCCTCCAAACATTTTCTGGCAATAGAATTATTACCATACTACCACATATTATTATAATGCATTAAGAGGTTGGTTCATGTCCCGCAGTTGTTGAAATCCAAGTAAAAATTTCTGATTTCTAAGAGTTTAAATAAATTCTACATTGGTCTTACTTTCAAACAACTTAGATTTAGGTTTGAGAATTAGTCTGGACATTTGAGCATTTTATTCATGAAAATTTTTACTAAACAAGTGAATAACAACTTATTTCTTTCATTTGAAATGAAATTTAGCTCACAATAATATGGCAGCCAGCCGCCTCCGTTATGAACTCGTAGAAGTTATGCCAGTTTAAAGTCGGCGGTGAAGTGGAGTAATTGGAGGATGACATCATCTTCTCCCTTTCTACGTGTTGGATGATCTTCTTCTCTTCGTCCACGGGAAGGGAGATCTTCTCTTCGTCTACGTGAGAAGGTATCTTCTTTTCCCCTTTAACGCGAAAAGCTTTCTTCCTTTTTCCCTCGTTTCCCTTGATCCCTTTCTCCCCTCGCCCTTGAGTCTCGTCTCCTGGCTGGCTGAGCTTGAGGTGCTTTTGGTCGAACTGAGACTCTGTGTCATCTGTAAATTTCAAGTAATTGAAATTTTGCATTAATTTGTAAAAAGTGTATAAAATGCTGGTAATTTTGGCATTAATGTCTGGCACTGGTATGCAAAGAATTTAGTTTACATACAACTAAAGACTTGAATAAGAATTTCAAAAGTTCTTGATGGAATGGGAAGGTTAATTTTCAAGCGAAGAAAATCATATCAGTCTCTCTCAATTAGAAATTTAATTTTTCTACTATCGAATAACTCGTCTCTATAAAATATTAATTGCAATTTCAGCAAAATTAACTAATGGGTTTTTGTTCTCTGCTGTACTACTTTATTCACACTGACATGACAGCAATTTAAATAAATTCTTGAATACATACACAGTTTTTTAGATTACCTTATACAGGTTATTCAATATATAAAATGTTAATGGGAATATCTGAATTCATCAAACAAAACATTTACTAGTCATTCACCTCCGTATACCTACTCAGAGAAACGAGTTAGACCTTGTCCAAATCTTGATGCACTCTTTGGAATTGTGTGGGACATTCAGTTTGAGCCGACAAAAATGCGTATCAATGCAAAAATGCGTATCAATGCGTATCAATGCTAAAAATGCGTATCAATGCGTATCAATGCTAAATACTTATCAATGCGTATCAATGCTAAAAATGCGTATTAATGCGTATTAATGCTATCAATGCGTATCAATGCAAAAATGCGTATCAATGCGTATCAATGCCATCAATGCGTATCAATGGTAAAAATGCGTACCAATGCAAAAATGCGTATCAATGCAATGCTAAAAATGCGTATCAATGCTACAAAAATGCGTACCAATGCAGAAATGTGTATCAATGCAATGCTAAAAATGCGTATCAATGCAAATCTTATAATCGATATTTAACACTCTTCAAACTCTCCAGTTGATCTGAAATTGTGCACACTTGCGTAAAGTTGGAGACAATGCATGAAACTATTGAAAGAATAAATAATTTTGAAAATTAATTTTTTAATATTTGAAAATAAAATTATAAATTCATTGTACATGTGTAACATCGGAGACACTGGATTCTTCAGAAGTGTTGTATGTAAAAAGTAATTTTTAAACGCATATTATTTAAAGATAGGCTCAATAATTTTTCACACTATAGCTTATTCTATACCAACATTAGAAACAATTTTTTTCTAATATCCTCAAGAAATGTCATTGTACCGTTTATTTACCGAACGATGCTTACAATGGTAAAATAATATGATAGCGAGTGCTTGACGTTAGTTGCAGTGAAAGACCATATCGGTCTCACATCTAATTTATTCACATGCAGTTGCTAGACGTACTTTATGAACAGATGTTCACATTGATTGATATTAACAGGTGTGCAAGTTGAGCAACTTCAACTTCAACTCCTTTGTGAAGACACGGTTGCAACGACAGAGTTATGATGTCGAAGTCGACAATGGAAAAAGATTTAGGAGTTAATATCGACAATGAGTTGAAATTTTCTAAGCATATTGAAGGTCAAGTTAATAAAGCCAATAAACGACTTGGACTGATCAGACGCTCTTTCGAGTTCCTAGATGCAGAAGTGATGAAGCAGTTGTTTGTTGCTGTCGTGCGCCCGAACCTAGAGTTTGGAAACGTCGTGTGGTCACCGAAACTTGAAAAGGACAGAAATTTAATAGAGAGTGTTCAAAGACGTGCAACAAGGATAATTCCGGGCTTGAAACGCAAGTCCTATGAGGAAAGATTAAAGATTATGAAGCTTCCAAGCCTCAGTTATCGACGTCTGCGTGGGGACCTCATTGAAGTACACAAGTATACTCATGGCTTATACAAGGTTCCAGAAGGATTACTAGAATTTGAAACAAGAATCAACACCAGGGGCCACAGCTATAAACTAAAAAAAACTGCGTTGTAACATATCCATGCGACAACATTTCTTCTCGCTTCGAGTCACCGACATGTGGAACAGCCTCCCTGATAGTATCGTTGACGCTCCGAGTTTGAACGCCTTCAAGAACAGACGAAGCTATGCAGAAGCATATGTTCAGTCTTAAAATGCCTAGCAAATTACGGACCAGGCAATAAGTCCAGCAGCTATCTCAATCAATCGTCAGCTATGGAACGATCGGGTTCCAAAGGCCGGATCCATGAATGAATGAATAATGATATATAGTGATGATTGAATGATATCTGGTGATGAATGAATGCTATCTAGTGAATGATTGATATCTCCTGAAGGGATGCTCTCTAATGAATGAATGATATCTCGTGAATGAATGGCATCTAGTGAATGAATGTTATATCGTTGATTTATGATAGATAGATACTGAATGATATCTAGTGAATAAATGATATCTCGTGAATGAATAATATCTAGTGAATGAATGATATCTCGTGAATGAATGATATTTCGTGAATGAATGGCATCTTGTGAATGTATGCTATCTCTACTTGATGAATGATATATAGATAATGAATGGTATATAGTGAATAAATGATATCTCGTGAATGAATAATATCTAGTGAATGAATGATATCTAGTTAATAAATGGTATCTAGTGAATGTATGATATCTAGTGAATGCATTTTATCTCGAAAATGAATCTAGTGAATGAATGATATCTAGTTAATGAATGATGTCTCGTGAATGAATAATATCTAGTGAATGAATGATATCTAGTTAATGAATGATATCTAGTGAATGCATGATATCTAGTGAATGCATTTTATCTCGAGAATAATCTAGTGAATGAATGATATCTAGTTGATGAATGGCATCTAGTGAATGCATGATATCTAGTGAATGAATGATATATAGTGAACGATATTAGTGCGTGAATGAATGATATCCAGTGAATGAATGATATCTAGTTGATGAATGGCATCTAGTGAATGCATGATATCTAGTGAATGAATGATCTATAGTGAACGATATTAGTGCGTGAATGAATGATATCCAGTGAATGAATGATATCTAGTGATTGGTTTATGTTTACGCGCCGATTTTCAGGCTGAATGAAGTTCAACAAAAGTGCAAGTCATGAAAAATTGCAACCATAATTAACCTGGAAGTTCCCCGACGCAATGATTAACCTGCTATGAATGAATGTTATATCGTTGATGAATGATATATAGATACTGAATGATATCTAGTGAATAAATGATATCAATGACACGAAAGTGTTCAATTGTATAAGTTGTGATCATGGAACCTGATCGCTTCATTCATTTAATTTAATTTCATTCATTATGCAAATGAAATGAATGGTACACAGAGAAAAATGACAGGCTCATATTGTCCAAATGGTGACATATTTTCTAATCCACGTCGTGACCAGGGGCCATTCTTTCAAAATTCGCTAAGTGAACGTAAGTACTTACGCTCTATTTTCTTGTCTATGATTGGTGGATTTTGCTTGAAAGGCCGTTAATGATTGGCTGATGAACTTACGATCTCTTAACTTTTTTTGAAAGTATGGGCCCCAGAGAACGCACGTAGCACTTATACGCCAAAACTGGGTCAGGATGACCCACAGAATAGCAATAATTGTATCGCTACATGAACAAAATGTCACTTTGTAGAGGGATAGGTTAATTATTAATGATCAATAATGTGTGTTATCTTGATGTACGGTATATAGGAAAATGATATATTTAATTAGGATGTAAAAGTTGTAAGATTGTTTTAGAAAGAATCGTAGCTTTGCTGACTGGTGTCGTACGAACGGATTCATTCGGATTTTAGAGAGCGGACAGTAAGGATCCCTCTATTCGGCCTGTATATGTCTTGCTCCAGATTGTCTCGATTAACTTTGTAACCTTGCTCAATTTTATATCTGTGTTATGGTGTTGGATTTTAAGTATATCTTGACGAGAAAAGACTTTTATTCTTGACAACAGTTCATGCGAACCTGGTGGTCCACAATAACTTATTTCTCTGAGTGTACACACTGAACAGTTCATGTTTATTCAGGGGCAACTCACTTGTTCGTAGTCGTGTCAGCGCCGATTTGCCGCCCCATCTGAATAATCGAGACGTGAAATTACTCAACTTCTTATTCTTCATTAAATACTTAAAAAGGTTTTCTTTCATTCTTAATTAAATATTTAACAAAGGTTTTCCTTTATTCTTAATTAAACATTTAAAAACTGTTTTCCTTAAAACATTCCTTCTAACGCACATGGCAAATATAACAAAATATATTTAAAGTAAGGTAGCACTTAAGTTGGGTAATTAATTAACAAACATTGCTACTAAAATTAATTGCAATCTAATTTAAACTAGAATTTGCATTTAGAAAAGTACAATAAAACGGCTGTAATTTTGTTTTGTCTAACGTAAATTAATGAAGCAGTGCTGTCATTCATTGTGAAGTAAGTGCTGTCATTCATAAGTTCCAGTGTGAAGTAATGCGAACTTACTTGTAATTCATGTAAATAATCATGAAGGTTACAACCATCGCCATAGCGACCATCTGCACGAGACGGCCTTGAATGATGAAGATTCTTGAACACAACATAATCTTTGTTATTTTCACTTCTGTATATATATTCGTAACACTTCTATGTACTCTTCTCACTTCTAAATGTTCCTATTACTTCTATTTATTCTTTCCACTTCTATATATTTTTTATTATTTTTATAGTTCTTTGTTATTTATCCCACAATGTACATAAGTTGGAGTTTATATAACAGTTAGAATAAGTTGGGGTTAATATAACAGTTGGAATAAGTTGGGGTTAATGTAACAGTTGGAATAATGCGAGTTAATTATAACAAATATTGCCACGTCAGTCGGGAGATGAAGAGAATTGAGTATGAACCATTCCCCACTGAAGTGCAGTTCACTCTGAAGTATTCCAAATGAAATTAACGAGTGATGGCTACACACTCACGATCGCAGGTGTGAGAGAGAGTCAGCTGCGTTCATCGAGTAAACATCTCTAGTGTCTATCGCCCTTGATTCCGTTAAGTTAACCGGTAAATAATCGCCTATAAGTCACATATTACTTGATCTTGGACTACTATAATATATACCACGAGTATATTTAGTGAAGGGTCCTTCTAGCGTCAAGAACCCGGCTGGCTTTCTCTCCCCTCCCCCTCCTCTTCTCTTCATGAGAAGAGGCAGTAGGTAGGAGTAGGTTTGTGAGCCAGCCAAGGTTAGGTAGTTAGAATTCTTGCATTGCATTTAAACATTTTTATCTTTTTCTGATTAAGGCTGAATTATTCTATTGAAACCTTGGCTACATCATTGTGTAACTTGTCATCTGCACTTATTATTATTTTTTGTATTATTAATATTTTGTCATCTTTTAGAATCAATCATATACTGCAAATGTCATGTGTTAAGTTTATGTTACATGTCCCAAACCAATTAGGTAGAACTCCTGTAGCTATTGCTAAGTAGATCACAGCCGCTGTTGCTAAGTAGATTACAGCGGCTATTGCTAAGTAGATCACAGCGGCTATTGCTATTGCTATAATAATTGTCACATAAAAGTCTCATTTAATTAATTTAACCTGGGAACAATATATCCGCTGTTGCATTCAGGTTATTCAATTAATGGCGTCAGTCTTTCAACTATGAGTTGTCATATGTGGAAAGAAAATTACGAGACGCTGTTTTATGCCTATTTATAAGCGCATTTTCTCATTTATGGAACAAATGCACTATTGTGCTCGCCATGTCCGTCTGTCCGTCCGTGACTTCACGTTTTCGTAGACGAGAAAATGCGCTCTCTGTCACTCACTGCAGTGAGTACTGAGTTATTTTTTTTATAATTTTTTTGTGAAAAATGAAACTCAGGAATATGACATTAATAATTTTGTGCTTAGCGATTTTAAAAATAGCGCTTCTTGAAAACGAGAACTTCTGAAGAGGATCGGTTCCGCTCTTTGGTGCAAGCTTAGATATAAAATAAAAATATAAAATGAAAACCTATTTCTCAAGCCTCAAGAGTTCTTTTCTCTGCGAAATAAAATTATTAACTTTAATGTAATATTTCATCGTAATTCAATACCGTTTGATCAGCAAAACATTTTTAGAACTCAAGCATGCGTTATAATAAAGTATGTTTTTTCAGCTTACAAAACAAGTCTAACTTCAAACTATATTATTTAGCAAAACGTTAGGACATTATTCTAAAAAACCATGCAGGGTCAGAATAACATAATTGAATTGATTGAATAAATAATAGATTAGGAAATTTCATAGAATAAACTCTACTCTAAATCATCTCTACTCTCAGTGAAATGAGGGAGCGTTTGTCTCAATCGTGATGAACTTCTTGACGGTGTGTTTGTCAGATAATATTATTATTTGATGACTCTGAGTTTTTGTTTGTAAAATGTGAGTAATATCAGCCATAAGAATGGCGGAAATACTGATGAACAAAACGATCAATTTAACATTCAACTAATTTACATTCATGAAAATAATCTTAATACTTGACGATGACAAAATTGCAATGAATTCAAAACAATCATTAAATCAGTCACATTTTACGTGCAATTTATTCACAGTTTATGGTGAAAAAAACAGAGATGCCAAGCTGTTGTTTTTTGAAGCTTCATCGGCCAGATTTTAAAAGGACAAATGAATGAGCAATGCATGTTGCCCTGGACCACATCATGGCTGTGATGTACGGACTCCCTGCCAACAACATGCTGAGTATTTTAGTAAAAAGGCAGTCCGAGAGCTTAAAATTATTCGTTTGCGTTAAACAAATGCTCCTGAAATGTTGATTGGAGTCTCAAACTTCGTGCGAGATCCATGGTCATAAAGGCAGTTGTGGGCTTCAAGACTGACACTGAGTTAACCAAGACTTCAAACTTGTTGCTCTGTCACTGTTTTTGACGATGCTTTCTAAGTTTAAAGTTGTAACTTTTTAATTAACCCTGACGCAAAATTTTTAATCCTTATTTAAGGACTTTCTCTGTCTAGAAGATTTTTATGACCGGAGAGTTTTGGAAGAACTATGAACATTAATGTAAGTCAATTTATAACATGGAGTTGAGGAACTCTAGTCAACCATTATTTATAAACACGTGGCAACTTAGCAGCGCTTTGCAACGAACACAAAAACACTGATGAACAAAATGGTCGTCTCTCAACATGAGATGTTCAGCCTTTTTTTAAAGGACTAAACAATTCTCTTTAAATTTAGTCAAGTGCCTCAAGGCTCCACTGAAAAATAGAGGGAAAATATTTACTGCTTATTCTGGGTGCCTTGAGGACGTAGTAAATAAATGCATAAAATAGAGCGGTCAGTAAAAGTGAACTAAGCTTAGAAGATTTCCCTCGGGGGGTCCTTAAAAAACTCTGATTGAGGGGAGCTTCTGCCCTCTGCGAGGGCGAGCATGGACATGGAACGCGACTTTAACCCTCTACCGCCTGACATGAGTAACCGGAGCAATATTGTGTCTATGATGAAGTAGATCACAGCGGCGGTTGTTAAGTGGACCACAGTGACGATTCCTAATTTAGTAGATCACAGCGGCGATTGCTAAGTAGATCACAGAGGCGATTTCTAAGTAGATCACAGCCGCTATTGCTATGTAGATCACAGCGGCTATTGCTAAGTAGACCACAGCGGCGATTGCTAAGTACTGTAGATCACAGCGGCGGTTGCTAAGTAGACCACAGTGGCGATTGCAAAATAGATCACAGTAGCGATTGTTAGTAGATCACAACGGCTGACGCAGTCTATAGCAACTGCCGCCTGTGATGATAATCGTTGCCTTGAAAACCAAGCAGTCCATTATATTTTGTACGGTCCAGTAACGGAACACTAGTGAGCTTGAAAAATTCTCGGTGAAGTCGGAATCGGAATATATTAAGTGGCGAGGTAGCATTTTGCAAATAAGGTTAAATATCAGTATGATATTAAAATATTGCGATAGATCGTATTAACATACGAATAAATTTTTAAGTCATAGATCAAGAAATGAACAAGAGCCGCTCATGAAGTCGAGATTCTGAGGAAAATCCTTCCGGCAATATATCGGATATCACAATAACGAAATTTTAATTAATGATAAAAAGCAGTGGCTAAAATAAAGACAAGAAATAAGACTTTGTGTAGACAAAATACGGCACGGGAAGACCAGGTGATGTCTGTGATGTCTCTTGCAGTGACTACTTATTTTTTGATCAAGTCATCACAAAATTGGAGCAGCAGACACCTCTGAACAAAATACCTGGCACTGAAAATAAAATGCGTGATGCGTCATGAGACATGTAATCTTCCAAAAAAATCCATTTAAAAATCTATTCCAAATTCCATTGGCGCATTCAAGTTTTTTTAAACAGTTAATTGGACACATCAAATTTCCTCGACTATTCAAAGATTTGGTATTAAATCTTTCAAAATAATAACCAATCGCCAAGATAATGTCAGAGGTTACTGTATAATGCTAAAGATTTTTATGTAAAGATTTTTCACAAACCGCATTTATCGTTTATCTCTGACTACTTTATTATTATGAGTTCTCATAGCTTACATGCTGATCCGACCTTTTGTATAGGGAAGGAGATTGACTTTTTGGAGGAGATTTATGACTCATTTAATTGTTCGTAGGCCATGTAGCAGTTCCCACAATAGTTCATTGAGTTTACTAGCAAACATTTATACTGTATTTCAATTTCTTATATCTGTTTATCATAGTTTGATTATATGTTCATTTATCGATAGTATTTATTTCATTCATGCAGATACATGGCTACGGCCCAGGGGCCAGTGGTTACAATGGTTACAGTTCAGAGTACCAAGATTGGCGCAGAGACTCGGGTTCGATCCCAGCTCTGTGCGCCAGTTTCTGGTCAGAATCAGCGAGGAGGCCAGGCGGTTAAGCACATAAAATTGAAGTAGCGAGCAGCGAGTTCGAGACCTCAACAAGCTGTGAATGTTATGCGATGTCAAAAATCGCTGACAGGCCTACAGCCTAATAAATAAATGCTGACACCGCTATATATATCTTTCCTTCTAATGAAACAAGTTGTTATCACACCGGGGAGTTTTATAACAAACGCGTCAGCTAAAGTCTACGCCAACTCATTAGAACGCAAAGGCATATAACTAATATAAAGCGCTTCAGGTGGAAAGATAATGTAAGAAAACTTTCTTGTATTGAAGTAATTCTTGGAACTTGTTCTCTTAGATGCACCGCCCCGGCAGAATATCAAATGAATGATTGCGTTCTCTAGAAAGCAACGACAAAACATTCACAAGACGAATATTATGAAAAATATGAAACATTATAATAATAAATAATATCTCAAATAATGAGATATCATAAAAATTTATTGAACTGCTGCAAGGGTTACTCCGGGTATTGCAGGCATCGCAATCTCAGAAAATTTAGTAAAACTTGATCCAAATAGCTATGATTTTTAGCGCATTTTCTAATTTATGGAAAAAATGCACTATTGTGCTCGCCATGTCCGTCCGTCCGTCTGTCTGTCTGTCTGTCCGTCCATCTGTCCGTGACCTCAAGTTTTCGTCGACGAGAAAATGCGCACTCTGTCACTCACTGCAGTGAGTACCGAGTTATATTTTTGCACTTTTGTGGGTCAGTCTACCAAGTTTGACCCAGAAAAAGGTCGTATCAATGTTATACGTGCCGGACATGTGTCGCTATATTTTTGAACAATTAAACACATTATTTTTCTAAGTGTAGGTCTCTAACAACTGACTTTAATAATAGAGATATAATTCTTTGGATTGGACTTCCTACATTTCGGACATCATAATGTGGAGGGGGAGTGAAAAAATTTGGTTGCACCCAAATTGCGACTACTGATAATGTCTAAGGTTAAAGGTTATTACCA